GTCCACACGGTAAAATACCTTTAGACTCAGCTCTGTCAAGCGAGTGTGTGGAATTATGTGTTCGTAGGCTGGACTAACAGCGAGGCACCGACTGCTTGAATGGATGTATACCGTGTTGTTTTAGAATCAGCTGCAATTGTTTTTTTTTTCTGTTTTGTCTCTTTTCATTAATTTTATGTGTTTGTGTATGTGTGTGTGCCTGTGTGCGTGTATGTGTGTGTGTGTGTGTGTGTGTGTGTGTGTGTGTGTGTGTGTGTGTGTGTGTGTGTGTGTGTGTGTGTGTGTGTGTGTGTTTATACACACACATACACACACATATACATATACATATATACTTATATAAATATATGTATATATATATATATATATATATATATATATATATATATATATATATATATATATATGTGTGTGTGTGTGTGTGTGTGTGTGTGTGTGTGTGTGTGTGTGTGTGTGTGTGTGTGTGTGTGTGTAAGTATATCCTTCTTTTCTTCTATTTTTTGGCTAACATAGACACAAGGATAGTTGAGTTATCAACACATGGACGAAACAGGGTTATGTGCGAAATAGGAAATAACGGAAAAAAAAACAATTAAAACACAAGAAAGACTCCCGAAGGACACACCGAAGTAGAACGTCTCCTAACCCTTCCATCCTGACCGATTCGGCAGAAAATATTACGCAACGAAGAAGAAATATTCAGCAAATACTAATTCTTGTTTTCCTCTTGTAAATGAGCTTTATTAACCAATGCTAATATAGCCTCCTGAAATGGGAGATGGGTCCCATATACCAGTGCTTCCTATATGCTGTCAAATACGGTATAATATACAGTATGGTTGCAGGTCGTAAAACAGGTTTGTGACGATAAATATCTGAAATACAACGATGTATTTTGGATGAGTTGTAAGGTTGCATTCACCTAATCACAACCAAACTCTCGAGGATATATTCGCCTAGATTAAAGATAACAATAACAAGAACAATAATGATAATGATAACAATAATGATAACAAGAAAAACAGTGATAATAATGATAATGATAATAATTTTAACAATGATTATGATAATAGTAATAATTATGATAATTGAAATGGAAAATAATTAAAATAATGATAATGATTGAAATGGAAAATAATTGAAATAATGATAATAATAATGATTATAATGATAATAATCATAACAATTACATAATGATGATAACAATATGAAAATCAAAATCATAATGATAAGAACGATAGTAATAGTGACAGCAATGGAAATAATGATAACAATAATGATAATATTGATATAATAATAACCATGATAATAATGATAGTGATAATAATGATAAAGATGTTAATAATGAAACAAAAAAAAACAATAATAGTAATGGTAATAATAACAATTACTATAATAATAATAATAACGAAAATAATTCTAATAATAATAATGATGACGAAAATAATAATAATAACAATAATAATAATATGATAATAATAATGATAGTAATAATAGTAATGATAATAATAATAATAATAATAATAATAATAATAATAATAATGATAATAATAATAATAATAATAATAATAATAATAATAATAATAATAATAAAAATAATAATAATAACAAATAATAGTAATATTAATAATGATATTAATGATAATAATAATGATATTAATGATAATAATAATGATATTAATGATAATAATAATAATAACAACAATAATAAAAAATAATAGCAGTAATAATAATGCTAATAATAATAATAATAACAATAATAATGATAATAATAATAATAATGATAATAATAAGAATAAGAATAAGAATAAAAATAATTTTAATAATAATAAATTTAATAATAATGATAGTAATGATAATAATAATAATAATAATAATGATAATAATAATAATAACAACAAAAATAAAAAATAATAACAGTAATAATAATGCTAATAATAATAATAATAACAATAATAATGATAATAATAATAATAATAATGATAATAATAATAAGAACAATAAGAATAAAAATAATTTTAATAATAATAAAAAATTAATGATAATGATAGTAATAATAATAATAATAAGAATAAGAATAAGAATAATAGTAATAATAATGATAATAATAAAAATAATAATAATAATAATAATAATAATTATAATAATAATAATAATGATAAATAATAATAACAATAATAATGATAATAATAATAATAATAATAATAATAATAATAATAATGATAATAATATTAATAATAATAATAATAATAATAATAATAATAATAATAATAATGATAAATAATAATAACAGTAATAATAATAATAATAATAATAATAATAATAATAATTATAATAATAATAATAATAATAACAATCATGAGAGTAATACTAAAATGTTATTATTAATAATAATAATTTTAATAATAAAGATAGTAATAATAACAAGAAGTATAATAATGATGATGATAATAATAAAAATAATCATTATCGTCATCATCATTATTACCATACTATTAAT